AAGTTAGAGTGCGAAAACCAATGTGTCTTCGGACGACGCCAGACGACGCCGGACGACGACGACGACGACGACGACAACGACGACGACGACGACGACGACGCCAACGTCATACCAATATACGACCAAAAAATTTTTAATTTTTGCGGTCGTATAAAAATAACTAATTACTGATAGAGAATCAATCATTTAAATAATGTCATGAATGTTAAACATGTTAAAGGGCAATTTATTGCAAAAAAGGTTTGAGGGTATTTTGGATTTACGGTTTTAAAGGAAGAGGGGCACGGTCAAGGGCGCAACATCCATCTAAATTTGGCTTACTAGACCACTGGTCATGCTGGTTAACATGGTAAATATTGCTCACATTGTTGGTCATGTGGGTGGGGCGAATATGTAATATTGATATCCATCATGTCCATGGTGCAAGTTGAGTTAGGGTTGAATGTGTGCATACAGCATATTCTTTGTAATATTATTTGTTGGGCGAGTTGGCAGGTCTTTATTTAGCTGAGGAACAGTAGCTCGTCCACAAAGTGTAAAAAAATATCATAAGGACCTATGAGTTACGGTTCTGCAGCTAGTCTTTTTTCAGCAGGATTATTTAAACTCCTTTTCATTTGTGGGATGAGTAACTGTTTCAATAGTTATGAAGATGATCCAAAATGAAATAATATTAAAATATAATGGTTCAATGCTTTAATTTCCTGTTTCTTAGGGTTACACCTAAAGTAAAACTATGGCAAACTTCTACATATCAAACAGCAAGCAAAAATCACAAAAATAGTACTTGAACTTTTGTAATTGCTTTTCTGAATTCGACAATCGGTCAGTTCAATTTGAAATCCATTTGAATCAAGGTAAATTTATAAAGTAAACTGGACCCCTGCTGTTGTTTCGCTCTTATCTACACATTTGTGGCGAAGTATCAATCGGTGGGTGGCCAGTTTATTTATAAAGATGACCTGTTGTTGAAAAAATTACCCAATGGATGATTTTTTTCAGTGGTTTATGTTAGCTGTTATATACATGTATGTAAAAGGGCTAGGTTACCATAGCTAAAAGAAGATAGTGCATCTGCCGCCATCATGTGCTATGATCTTCATGTAACAACTTCCCTGGTCTCAATCCAATAACTGTCAAGCGATCTGGTAATCATATATATATATCGATCATAATCAGTAGCACATCCAGGATTATTCAAAATGTTACAACTTATTACAGCAGTGTTCAGGTGAAACTTAATATACATTTTCCGTTTTTACAGGAAAATAATGTTATTTCGTATTAAAATAAAGTAGTGACCCCCCCCCCCCCCCCCCCCACCCGATGGATCACTATCTTATGCATAAAAAATTCCCAATTAGGGGACGACCATTTGATATTCTGGGGGGGGGCCAGGAGGATTTTGAAAATAAATAACTCAGCCTTGATAATCACAAAAATAAATGGTTTGTTCTGTGGTAGTTTGAAAATAAATTACCTGACTTGCAATGTATTGAAAATAAATAACTCAGCAGGTCTAATCGAAAGTATGAGATGGCACCAGATTCTTCATAAATTCATCTTTTTTCCAAAAAAAAAATCGGGAAACACTTCCCATATCTTTTAATAATAAAAGTATAAATATTATTTAAATATACTTGAAATGTCAGAAAATTGGTTTCATTTAACTTGAGGTTAATTGTCTCAGGAACACTTACCTCACTTTTATTAAATCAGGGCCGTAACTACATTGAGACAAATGCCTCATGTAGGAAATTTCAAAACCAAACGCTTGTCTCCATATCAAATTGTGTTCACCGTGAGTGCCTTGCATGAAGCAAGTTCTGTTCTCCCTCAGACGTAGCCCCTGATTTTTGGGGATCAATGTTTCTTATTTATTTGTCTTTTGTTCATTGATTGCCCTTCTGTATTCTGTTAGTGTTGCATTCATTTTGTAATTTAGTAATTTTATAACTTGATCACGAGTTTAAAAAAACACAGCAGCCACAGACTTAACTATGTGAATTACATTTTTGCTTTATCATGCATATTTGTCTTTTGATGTTGTCCCTAAAAACTTAAGTCGTACACTGAATCTATAACGTGATTTTGCTTTGAGACCAAAATATTGTCATAAAATTATTAAAACAGAACTTGCATTTTCAGTTTAAGAAAGGGTCTGGGGAACACCCAGAAGGCATGATTTTGCATCATTTGTTTTATAGCTTCTTGGGCCTTTAGCGGTTCAAAAACCCTTCAAAAACATTTTGCCTCGCTCCGCTCGGCCAACCATGTTTGCCAATACTGTTAAAAGAGCCTTAGTTACAACCAAACTTTAATACTGTGTATGTATAGAAGATTCATTTCTGCAGAGGATAATAATTAATTCTGATTAAATGGTACATAATGACTTGACTATACATGAATTATTTATCATAAACAAATAATTTAAAAATTGTATGTTTTCGAATATTATAAATATAGTTGTGAAAATAAATAATCAGTCCCTTGCTTTAATGAAAATGAAAAATCTTGCTTCAATAGTGCAGAAAATAGATAATCTGTCCTCTTAGTTTACAAAAATAAATAACCGATCCAAAACAAATCCTCCTGGCCCCCCCCCAGAATATCAAATGGTCGTCCCCTTAGGATGAAAATACCAATTTGTTGGTCAAGGGACCCATTTGAAAACACCTATAATCATCCCTGGAGTTAGCTGGTCTTTATTCAGCAGAATTAAAACTCCTTTCCATTAGTTGGAACAGTTGGCAGTTCTCATTTCAGTGGGATTAATTTCATTTTCATGCATAAGTGGACAAGCTTTATTTAGACAGTCAGGGCTAGTCTGCAGTTGAGAGGGGTTTCACTAATTAGCGACAAGAAGCGTCAAGAAGCGACAAGAAGAATGATTTTGCGACAAGAAGCGACAAGAAGACTATTTAGCGTCAAGAAAACTATTTAGCTAAAAAATATTATTAAAATTACTTATTCCAAATAGATATATTAAAAAAAATATGCATTGACATTTTTTTTTTATATATACGGGCAGTAATAAAGTGATTTTCATTTTTTTTTTATTATGTTGATAGATGAAGAAACTTTTGTAAAGGAGAATGGGATTGTGAAGTTTTTATTAAATAAAAAGAACATGTTTAAGATAATGTATGTACTGTTTTCAGCAAAGTCAGAGTATGAATAAATGATTGAAGATAAAATATAGAGTCGGCATAATAGAATATAATCTCTTAATTCATTTGATCTTATTAATGATATGCTCTACACTGTACTCTTATTATATCAACACATTGCTTCATTTGTAGAACGCTCAGATACGCTTTGTTATATTGAAAGCGTGTTTCTAGACAAAACGACAAGAAGGTGGTTCTACCATGAGTTCTATATATTGTGTTTTATAATTCATTGTTCTTGATAGAAACAGCATTAGATGTGGCTTCTCCCTAAAGTAATAACAGTAACATCAAATGAGAATAGCGATATGCATGTCCCTTGTTTTATTGCTACATAACCATGATAACATCCAATTAACACCTTTAACTTTGTACACGCGTCAGACTATACAATTACACGCGCCAGAATATACAATCATTGTAAATAGTGAACACCTGTTGAAAACTCAACATTGTCTTTAATTACCTTTAATCTTCAATCAACTAAACTATGCATAAACATGACAAATATCGTTTAATGAGGCAATACAGTAAAAAAAATGATGTAAATATTCACGTTTTAATTACGTTTTCCTTTTATTTGATTTCAATGATTTCAGTTTATTGTATTTCACAAATTATGTCTGTCAGTCAGGGGTACTACTTGTACAAGTAATTTTTATTTACTTGAAGAAGTAAATATTAATATACTTATATAAGTAAATTTGTAGGATATTTATACAAGTGTACTTTATTTACTTGTATAGGTAAAAAAAAAATTGGGCTTAGTTATGTCCCTTAGACATTCAGATTTTTTTACTTATACAAGTAAAAAAGTCATCCTATCTTCTTTTCTTGAATTCTTAGGACTTCTTTGCTCTAATAGAATTTTTAATTGTCTGTCCTTTGCAGATGTCTTTACTAATCATTTAAGTGTAATTTCATGGACAATGAAAATCTCATTTGTCTGTTATCTTCAGAACACTGCTCATTTACAAGCCCCCAAGGGGCAATTTTTGAAGGCCTTGCGCAAATACTTAAGATCTTTGCGCAATCAGTTTCTTTGTTGAATTAATGAGATGAAACATTGAACTCTAATAAAAAATTATGAGCTAACCTGAGAAAAATTGTTCAAGGCATGTTTTTACATCTCAAAACTAGAGAATTTTTGTGGGATTGTAAAAAAAATTTACTTATACAAGTAAATTTTTGAGAAAATTAAGGGGAGATTATTCAAACATTATAATTAACTTATACAAGTATATTTTATTTACTTCTTCAAGTAAATAAAGATTACTTGTACAAGTAGTACCCCTGACTGTCTGTATTTTCTGGACAATAATGCACAAATAATGCATTTTGCATGCAATCAGTTTATTATATATTAGACAAAGAGAGTGTTAAAAAAAATTATAAGATAAATATATAATTGTTCTAAAACACAAGAAAAAGTTATGTCATATTACAGGGAAAACGTAATATTTGCTGTAATACATATATATATCACAAGCAAGTGTAGCAATTAGATCTATGTTTCAAAAATGTGTGATGCTTTATTACTATAAATATTGACTTTTTCTATGAATTTATATTTAGTGATAGAATATTTACTTTCTTGTCGCTAAATTTGTGTTCTTGACGCTAAATATTCTTCTTGTCGTTAAATTATTCTTCTTGTCGCTAATAAGTGAGACCGGTTGAGAGAGTTGTCTTCCTTCCCTTTGTCAAACCCTTATAGATGGAAGATTTTGAAGTAAAAATGTATATCATATCGATGTTCATTTAAAGGACCTAAACAGAAAGGAGGAGGGGTTGAACTGAAGGAGCATTGTTACACTTGTAGGTTCTTACCTATTTTGCTGAAAAATTTGTAAAGTTGGAAAAATGCTGATGTTCGATTCACATCCGCTGGATCTGAAAGATCAATTTCTAACTTTCCGTTAATGTAATTGTTCAAAAAGTCAAATCCATCATTGTAAATTCCTTTGAAAGAAACTGCAGGAACTATCTTTCCCTGTTTGCCTGATTCCTCCATTGTGCAAGTAAATTTTTCACACTGTATGTGAGCGCGACTAAAGCTCTTGCCAAATTCACATTTATTTATTTTCAGTGGTGTCAACTTTAGATCGGTGTACGTATTCAACGTTTCAAAAATTTCGTTTTGTGTGTTTTTCGTTTTAAATGAAACATTGGCTTTTATCAAACAGTTTACAGTTATTAGATCACTTCTTCTGAGTAAAACCTTCGTTATCAAATGTTTTGACATTCTACATTGAAGATAATTCATATTTTTCTTCGTAAAGGTGCACTATGGTGAATGGGAAAAGAAATTACTAGATTGCTTTTAGCATTCTATTCTTTGTATCTTCACCCTTTAAGAGGAGCACCACCGTGCGTAATGTGTAAAGGAGGACATTTAACACTGTATTGGTACAGATTTAATATGAGCATTTGCCTACCATGTTGCCCAGCCTGGCCGGGACGGGTCTTACTACCCCAAAACAATAAGAAGTAAGTACAACGAAATAAAACATACGAACCCGAGATACGAACACACTCACCCAGTGATGCGCACATTAAACTTTTGAAAATATATATAAACGCAATGATATGGCAAGCCGTTGTGGAATTTATTCCCTATTTTCTAATATCAAAAATCATTTATTTATATTAAAAAAATCGGCAGTGGCTATTTTGCCGGCCGGACGGCAAAATAGAAAATATGCTATTTTGCCGTTTCTGATTAGAATATCTTAAATCAAAGCCGGAAAAATTGCATATTTCTATAGCAATGGCTATTTTGACGGCGCCGGCAATATAGTGAATTTGTTATTTTGCCGGTTCTTTGTAACGAGTGAATTTTAATATTTAATTTTGAAAAGTACTACGAAAATGTGCATTGCTAATATTAGTCTAACATAAAAGAATCAGATCAAGGATTTGTATAGTAATACAAATCCTTGATCAAATTATTACTCGTTTGACTCATATAGTTAAAATTTGAGATATATATATAATCGTTTAAAAAATTTATGAGTACAAGTGAAAAAAAGAATTTGTAAAAAGAAATAAAAATAGAAATATTGAGCATCCATTTGTAGCAATGAAATCATATCTCAAAACATGTAGTTGAAATTACTTCTAAAATCAGTCACATTTTAATGCTACATGTATGCATAAGAATAAAATCTCAGATTTTTAAACTGTATGTTGTAAAAAAAATAAAAATTAAAAAATCTCATTGCATATGAATTTGATAAAACATTATACAATCTAACAAAATCAACCACATATAGCTTCAAATTCAAAAATGTTTGAATTAAATTTGCTTCTGAAATAATACTGGTAAAATAGGCTTCCGCTTACCTAGAGCCGGCAAAATAGCATATTTTCTATTTTGCCGGCGCCGGCAAAATAGCCACTGCCTAAAATTAACCAAGAGATTTTCACAGAGAAGACGATATCCTTTTAATATAATCTTTGATTAACTTGATTTAAACACAAAAACTGTTGGCGTACACACATATTACATAATTATTGTTGAAACATTCAAGAAAGTTTTTTTTTAAAAACCATCTTCAACCCGCTATATGGCGGGAAGAAAAGTATACATTACATCGACATCAAAAAAATTTGACATTTCCGGTTGGACATTTTTTTTTTTATAACAGCAAATTTTTTCTTCACCCTTTTTTCAGATGAGCAAAAAATTAAAGAAATATATTACTGCTCTAAAAGCTTTATACAGTCTGTACCAGAGAAATAATAATATTAATATTCCTTTAGATTTACAGATAAAACTATTTGATTCTTTGGTAGCCCCTATTTTGACTTATTCCTCCGAAATTTGGGGATATGAAAATAAGATGAATATTGAGAAGATACATTTACAGTTCTGCAAAAACATTCTGCGGGTTAGGTCATCGACCGCAAATTTCATGGTCTATGGTGAACTTGGCCGATTTCCTATCGAAATTAGTATCAAGATGAAAATGATTTGTTTCTGGTACAAGCTTGTAACAAATGTTGATAAACTGTCTGGAAAACTCTACAAGCTTATGTTCAATTTATTTGGAAATGGAAATAATTCTTTTAAGTGGATTAATTATGTAAAATCTATTTTTGATGAAACTGGTAACAGTGAAATTTGGCATGTACAAGGGAACGTTAATTTGATTTTTTTTTTTCAATTTGCTGTTAATTTGAATTTAAAAATGGTTTTCGGATATCGATAACTCATCGAGGGGGAAGTTCTATTCAAAATTTAAGACTGACTTCTGAATGAAACCCTATCTAATTAGACTTAGAAAATTAAGTAGACGTTATATTTGCAAACTTCGCACTTGCAATATCAAATTTCCTATCGAAACGGGGAGATGGAACAGAATTCCAGAAATTGAAAGAAAATGTAAGCTTTGTAAGACTGGTCTTGGAGATGAGTATCATTACATAGCGCTTTGTAACAATGCTGATGTTATTGAAGTAAGAAATGCATATATTCCTTATAACTACAGAATCAACCCAAATATCAACAAACTTTATGGAATGTTGAAATATTGCAACTTAAATGGATTAACTAACCTTTCTATTTTCATTCAAAAGGTTGAAAAACTACTGCTTTCTCTGTAAATCATCACATATGGATATATCTATATATGTTACACTTTTTGTTACTATCCATTATCATTTTATTGTGTTCATGTGATCACGTGGTTATTTAAACTTTACAGATTGCACGGACTTATTGCGATCTGGTCAATAGATGAAGTATACATTTAGTTTTGTAAAAAAAAATATTTATACTGTTTCATTTTATGTATTCTACTCATTTCGCTTCTATGTTATTTGTAAATGTATGTGCATTTGTCGCTCCTGTTAGAAATACGCAGGAAATCTGCATCTGAGTGTATTTTGAATAAACAGTTAAACAAAATTTGGGGTTGTTCAATATCTTTCTTTAATTTGTTGCATCTCTAGATTGATTGACCTGGCGCTATCTTACACCTTCATTATCTATCTAAACTTTTTCATTATCAATATTTAGATATGACCCAAGGCCTTACAGACATATATATTGTGCTGTACGATGTCTCGTATAAATTTTTAAATGTGGGTAACTAACCTTTTTAATTAGACATTGGCTCAAAGCTAGAATTAGCAAACACTATGTATAAAATTATACCATCTTATTAATTCATTAAAAGAACTACGTGATATGGAATCATTATAAAAATGTTACTGTTTTTGCAATTTAAGGTTTAAAAAAAATGCCCCTTCCTTTGTATAATTTCAAGATAGTTCAGTTTGTATAATTGTTTTTATAGTTTCACAAAAGATTTAAACACAATTTTACATCAGCTGATATTAGGAAGAAATATGATTGGTTTCTCCGAAATATCTATTATTAATTTTATTTTATATTCATACTTTACTTATCTCTTGTTGAGTATTTATTTTACTTTCTCTGAAGACGTTGAAACAATGTTGGGTATCAAATATTTGTCGTCTCTCTCTCGGAAGGATTTGAAACAATTATTCTGTGAGATCAACTTTAGTCTAGCTTCTGGCTATTACACATGTATATCAGCACATTTGCGGTATCACGTTTTTTACCTTCCCTCTTCGGGATTTGAGCTAATGATATTGTGAGATCGTGACAGGTCCGCCTGCACTGTATTTTAGCAACATAAACCACTCCCCCCAACTATATATTGGAATATTTATCCGTGAGTAAGATAGTGGCTCATTGTATATAGGTACTTGACTATCCGTCCGTTACACATAAAAAAAAACTCAAAAGAACTGAAGTGAACTAATTAACTTCTAAGTTGGTATAGGGAAAAATATTGATACTACTATCGAAATAAAAATAACTGATATGATTACACATCGTGGAAACATAACACTGTTCTCATAAAGTAAAATAGATAAATCAAAGTACTTGTGAGCACTGAACGGTAAAGATTGCATTCATTTTTTAGTGGGATCTAAAAATTAAGCATTGCTTTGTATAGAGTATTGGAAGGCAATGATATGTAATAATTAGAGATATCTTCCTTTGTAGCAAATTGTAGTTTGTTTTTAAAAACTACAATTATGGACAAGTGGAGATAACTTAATTTAATAATAACATCATTGATATTATTAGAACAGACACTAGATTCATGCACCATGCACAATTTATGTAATTTTTCTTGACAGGTATATGGTTATACAAATACACATCATTTTGTAACTTGAATATTTGTGTATATTTCATTGACAAATTTCTTGAAATGTTTATGGATAAGATATATAGAATGTTATGCTCAATGCAGCAAGTTTTTGTTACTTCCAAAGTAGCAATAAAGTCTGAGAAATTGATAACTTTCAAGCCAGTCCCATCAGAATTTTGATTGCATGAATGCAATCTTAACCCCAAAACATCAGCGACACCGAAGGTCAACAACAACACGTTCTCTTGTAAAGGATCACGTCAGATCGTACAAAAATCTTACTTTCAATCTTTTTCGATTTTAGTTCATTTACATGATCTATTATGCATCAATTAATTCATCATTAATATAAGAAACACGAAACATTTCAACTGTCCCAGTATCTATTGTTTTCAAATTACCTTTTGTTTTGTATCCTTTTGTTCTCGAACTATCTTGATAAAGGCTTCACTTGAATCAAAAGATGAAGTACGCACAAAAACTGCACAACGTTTATATAAATTCACCGTGGGACGATACCGCTAGTTAAAACATCTTTTATCGTTGAAAAAGAACATGGACAATACACAAGTTGTGCAACTTAGTAACGTCGTCTTCACAGTGGTCCATGCCATTGCTGGCGGACTATTTTTACTCGATGGTAATTAATTCTTGTTAACATTACTTAGTCATGTAACTGTACTTTAACTTAGGTTGTAACTATAGCTACTTGATACAATGTTGACCGAAGATTGTTTAGGTTGTTCTGTTTAAGGTATTTTGGGTTTGTTACTTACAAACATTTTATGAATTTGGATTGTGAAACTTTTGGATCGAACTAACATGACGAGGCGAATTCCTCGAATGACCAGCTAAGAAATCGGTTTTAGACGTGCATCTTATTCTGTCATAAATCCAGCATGTCCATAGCAGGCAATTTAGAATTTCCGGTTGTTATAATTTATAATCATTATTGACGATGATACTTTCTAGCAAACGAACGATTCATGGAATTAGATATTTACCTTGTCCAACATCTGTTTCCACTTCTTCGATCTGTGTCCATGTGATTCCAACTGTTGAACGTTCACGCTTACCTGTTTATACCATATAT